GGCTCCAGCTGCGGCCGGCATTGGCTCCGGTTCCCGATGTCCCTGCGAACACCAGCGACTACCACAACGGCAGCGTCAGTCCGTGGGAAGAGCTGGCTAGGAAGCACTGGCTGGATAGAACCCAGGCGCCTACAAAGGTCAAACCCGATGTCATCACCAACGAAATATGGCGACCTCTGGAGCAAGAAGGCTTCTTACCAAGATCACTAGCTATGTTAGAGAGTCTCCAGGTGTTAGAGAGGTTTCTGTGGCCGACGTACACCCCGGATGCGCCTAACCACCATGTTATACTGATTACCATCTTCTTCAATCTCAAGCAACGCGCCCACCTACATGACTGGGCGCTCCTCACCAACGGCCGCCCCGATGACTTCTCGACCCTGCTGCGCCGAGTTCTGTCCCTCAACCTCGACGCCTCGCTGGCGATCCACTCCCGGCTGTCCTTGCTTAATTTCGTCCTAGGAGCGTTTCAATCATTGGAGAATGAGTATGTCCGGAAGGAGTGCGCTCCGCTGGTTTCAATCGCGACATGGCACAATCTACATGACGAGCAGGCAAGAGAGAGGCTCTTTGAGACAACTCCGGCGAGAAGAAAAGCGTGGAGAGCAGCTGCCCGAAGATTCGATGCAGCAGACCCAGACACCCAAAGTCGCCTGCGGTTTGATCGGGCATGGCTGTTCACGATGCTCGTTGACTTTATTGCAAGACTGAACGTATCAAAGTTGACCCATTCTCAAGAGATGGTCTACTGTGAGCGCTTCCTGGAATTTCTCATTGACCTCATCAGTCAACTGCCCACCAGACGCTACACCAATCCTCTGTTGCAGGACCTCAATTTGCTGGCGATCATACGGACGTCGAAGCTTTGTGGAAAGGAGGACGCCATACTATTACGCGACCTCGCCAATCTGTTTGAGCAATTCCAGACTTTCGCCGTTGACGACATGGGTGCTACCCAAGCGACGGACGATGTTCGCAAGAACTATTATCATGCTCTGGAGCGGTTACAGCGGATTTCTCTGCAGCATTTCGAGCACAAGCTCAAGGTTCTCGCTCTGTCCAATTTCGGCTCCATCAGCAAGCGGAGTGACTTGGAGTCTCATTTCTCGGAGTTGACGGACGACGAATTACAGCAACTATGCAAACATCTCGGATTCCGCACCACGTATCCCGCCGCTGCTGCGGTAACCGCCACCCGTGAAACCCTGATGGAAACCCTGCTTTCTTCTTTCTCCAAGCAACAGGATTTCCGAGAGGTTGTAAACCAATTATCAGTTTTGCCCACCGCTGACTCATTGTACGATCCGGCGCTGTTGCGAAACGAGCACTATGACGGCTCGCGACCACTTGGCATTCCGAAACTCAACCTGCAATATCTCACCCTGGGTGATTTTATGTGGCGCTCTTTCCAGCTGTACCAAGCGGAAGCTTTTTATGGTGTCAGAAAGGACATGGAAAGCATCGTGAAGCGCATGAAGCCGAAAGCTGGAAGGGATAGGAGTACAATGTTTGAAGGCTTCTCCAAGATGGCTCTACCGATTTCTGAGCCTGCGATCATTGAAGTTGGACTTCCCAAAGTCGGTCATCTCAAGCCTAGCCTTGTGCGAGTGGAAGTGAGTCTAGATGTTAGCCGCTTGTCGGACAACATCCGGAGGGAATGGGACAATCTCAGACCTCATGATGTCGTGTTTCTGCTAGCTGTGAAAGCAAACGACAATGCTCAACCCTCCACCAACGGCTATGCTCCTGTGGACGGGGAGGCGCCTAGGCTGTTCACCAATCTCAGAGCAGCTGAAGTCGTTCAAGTTTTGGATGACAATGGCCGAGCTCTGAGGGACACCCAGAGCAATGGCTATTCGCGGCCGAGGCGGCGACGACTCCTGCTTGACCTTGACGCAACATCGTACGCAACGGACAAGCTGAAGCCCCCCCGTGGCACATCAGACATTGCATCTTTCAATGTTATCGCCCGCAGGCAAGGTCGGGAAAACAATTTCAAGGCTGTGTTGGAGACCATTCGAAGCTTGGTGTCATCGCAGACGTTGCTTCCTTCTTGGCTGCAGGATGTCTACCTAGGATATGGTGATCCGAAGAGCGCCACGTACCCTTTCATTCCCGACCACATCGAGTCTGTTGATTATTTGGATACATTCCTTGATTGGCAGCATCTGACAGACAGCTTTCCGGGGAAGACTGTCGAGTCAGCCACAGAGCAGCCGGTGCCGTTCAACCCACCCTATGTCCTCGAGACTACGGTTCAGGCGGCTGCGGAGCCGCCAACCAACCCGAAAAAGCGGCGACGAGACCAGATGGAACAAGACTCCTCAGCTGTCAAGGTATCAACCTACAAGCCACGCAATACAGGCCCATATCCAGTGGATGTGCCCAAGAAGAACGCAGTACGCTTCACTCCAAGGCAGGTGGAAGCAATTGTCTCTGGGACGCAGCCAGGCCTCACTGTCATTGTTGGCCCACCCGGTACTGGCAAGACCGACGTCGCTACACAGACGATAAACCTGCTGTACCACAACTTCCCATCAGAACGCATTCTACTCGTCGCGCACAGTAACCAAGCGCTCAACCAACTTTTCCAGAAGATTATTGCCCTTGACATCGACCCCCGTCACCTCCTGCGGTTGGGCCATGGCGAAGAGGAATTAGACACAGACGCGTCGTACAGCAAATATGGCCGAGTCGAATCCTTCTTAGAAAATCGTCAAGTATATTTGTCGGAGGTCAGCCGTCTCGCGGCTTCGATTGGTGTTGAAGGTGCTCACGGCGCTTCTTGTGAGACTGCTGATTATTTCAATCAGGTCTTCATCAGACCTGCATGGCAACGATTTTGGGACGCAGCAAACGCCGAGAATGCCACCACGGAAGCTGTGGTCGCTGTGTTCCCTTTCTCCAAGTACTACAGCAATGCTCCCGTTCCAACGCTGTTCTCGGGAGATGCCACGCTGGAGGAGGTAAAGGAGGTTGCCTCTGGCTGCCAATACCATATCGACAAAATCTTTGCCGAGCTCGAGTCGATTCGACCCTTCGAGATCCTGCGTAGTAGTCGAGATCAGGCAAACCACCTTCTCGTCTCAGAAGCGCGGATTATTGCAATGACATCAACGCACGCCGCAATGAGAAGGTCAGAGATCGCAGAACTGGGCTTTCACTATGATACGCTTATCATGGAGGAAGCGGCACAGATCACCGAGATCGAGTCCTTTATTCCTTGTGCCATGCAAATGCCCGACGTCAAGACCGGCGAGTTGCCGCTGAAACGGATTGTCCTCGTGGGCGATCACCTTCAAAACTCGCCGATCATACAAGACCTCGCCTTACGTCAGTACGCGAACTTCGAACAATCCCTTTTCCTTCGCCTAGTTCGACTGGGCGTCCCAACTGTACACCTCGATCAGCAAGGCCGGTGTCGCCCTTCTATCGCCCAACTCTTCTCATGGCGGTACAACAATCTCGGCAATCTGCCTCATCTGCTCTCGCAGCCTGAGTTCGCATGCGCCAATGCCGGCTTGAAGTACGACTATCAATTCATTGATGTGCCCGATTACCAAGGCGCTGGTGAACGAGAACCAAGTCCACATTTCATCCAGAATCTCGGCGAGGCAGAATATGCAGTGGCTCTGTACCAGTACATGCGCCTGCTGGGGTATCCTGCACGGGGCATCTCCATTCTAGCCACCTACGCGGGCCAAAGAGCGCTCATTCGAGATGTCTTGGAGCATCGCTGCAAGAGCAATTCTCTCTTTGGGATGCCTCGGATCGTGACCACCGTGGACAAATACCAGGGCGAGCAGAATGATTACGTTATCGTCTCAATGACGAGATCAAAATCTGTGGGCTATCTGAGGGATGTACGAAGAATCACAGTCGCGTTGTCTCGAGCACGGCTGGGATTGTACATCCTTGGCAGAAGGGATTTGTTCGCCAGTTGTTTTGAGATGAAGCCCGCCATGGACCTTTTCATGCAACGCCCGAGTAAGTTGAGCCTTGTGACCGGGGAGATGTTTCCGACATCGCGGGTGCTAGATGGCGAGGTAGAAGAAGGAAAGGTCGCGGAGATGGACGGCGTGGAGCATCTAGGACAGTACGTCTACGAGATGACCCAGGCTAAGGTCCAATCAATGGGCGGACGGGTTAATGTCCTAATGGAGGAGGCTGAAGCAGATGGCAGTGCCCCTTTGGACGGCGCGGGAGAAGAGCTGAGCGATGCTGTCGAGGAGGACCCGCTACATGAGGCTGTGTAAGCGGCTCTGGAGCAGAGGTGTTTCATACGCCCAGCACGCGTATTGGCTGTGACATCGGGCATGCACCCAGTTTCGATGTGCATTGTGTGATGATTCGAAGATACCCTTAAGAATAATGATGCGAGAGGAACTCTAGCACTCTAGATTTGGCGCATGAAGTATACAGTTTTGCAGCTAATTTGATGTCGACGTGTAGAATGGGATGGTTTGTGTTATGATCAGTTCGCAAGTCTAAGAAACATCACACTCCAATCTTGGGATTTGAACTTTGACGATGACTGTCACAGCCAGAAGCAGGCGTCAACAACGTGCATAGCGAAGCAATGTCCAATAACAGAATCCTGCAAAAGCCACTGTAAGTAAGCAGCTGCGACAACTGCCAAGTGAGAAATGGACTGCCTCTTTCGGAGGGTTAATTACAATAGCTGTTTGAGCAGCTGGAACCCGTCGCCCCCAAATGAGGCGATGCGGGTGGCCGCATCGATGGGTTCGACGGCGACGGAAGTGATATGTACAGAGTGAGTGAGTCACAATTCAGATGATAAATAGATGGCTGTTGGACCATTTGCCAGTGTCACTTCGGTCTACACTCCGTTGCGCCTCGTTGTCACCGTCATCTGGTGATTATCTCACTGTCGCGTTCACCCCGCTGCCGCAGTACTTATAGAGACGCGGCGGCATCTTCGGTAATACGTTCTGCTTCCAAACTGTCTTCTTCGTTCGACCTATATCTCGTGTATCAAGATGGGTGGCTCGGCTTTTACTGCGGATGGACTCTCGACGCCACGGATGCCTCCAACAGTCTACCATGCAGTCCTCGCTCAAGCCGAGGAGATCCTCAAGAAGCATTTCAAACTCGTCGGCCATCCTATCGAAGGTCCCGCGAAGGTGTCGCATGGAGATATCGACATCCTGGTTGCTGAACCTGTCGACAGGCAGTTGGTACTCGGACGTGCAACGGGAGATCTGCTGGCCCGCCTCCTCGGAGCGAAGACTTGGAAGAAGATGGGTGGAAATTCTACGTACAACCTTGCGCTGCCATGGCCGGATGAATTCAAAGACCATGTGGTAGAAGGAGAATGCAAACATGATGTGCGTCATCAGCAGCACTCGGTCGACGATATGCAGAGCCATGATCCCACGCCAGAACCGACGCCAGGCAGCGAGAATAATACGCTGGGTACTGCCAAAGACACAACTGATCGTAGCGTGGCTGCAGACGCTTCAACAACCTCAGTGGAATCCCCGGAGTCTTCGATTTATCTCAGCACGCTCAGATTGCCTCGCAAGGCCACCCCAGAGAAGTACATTCAAGTCGATATCAATATCATGCCCACAGCAGCTTATTTTGACTGGCACATGTTCCTTGAAGCGCATGGCGACTTGTGGAGCATTCTCGGAGGCATCCTCCGGCGCTTCGGTCTTACAGTCGCCTCAAAAGGCCTGTGCGTGCGGATAGCAGAGGTGGAGAAGCAAAACAAAGAGCAGGCAAGGGTGCTGGCCACAAATGACCCGAACACAGTGCTGGAGTATTTGGGTCTGGACAAGGGACGATACTGGCAGCCGTTCGACAGCTGGGACAAGATGCTGGAGTACGTGGCCAGGTGCAGATTCCACAATCCCGCCCAGTGGAAGACCCGCAGTCAGTATGAAGACATCGAGGAGACCCAAGGAGAGCAAGCGAATGGCACGGAAAGCAAAGCACCCATCCCGCTGTTGAAGGCCAACGACCGCCAGCGCGCTGCCAAAAGACCTCTCTTCGGATACTGGATCGAGACCTACCTCCCCGCGCATGTCGATGATGCCCCAGGCAAATCTGCTTTTCTGACGCGAGAAGAGGTCGTCGACGATGCAAAGCAGTTCTTCGGCTCTGAGTTCGCAGACAAGTTCGAAGCGAGGAAGAGCAAAATGATCCGAGTGATGGGGACCGATAGACTGTGGGCTGATATCAGGAAGGAGCTGCCAATCGAAGGCACGGAGGTCGGGTGGGTAATGAAAGGTATGAAGAGGGAGATTGTGGGCAAGCATGGCGACTCACCCTCAGGAGGAGCCTTGGAAGGACTGGAAGATGTGAGACAGGCGTTCGAGAATTGCAGATTTGACGATGTCTTGGAATGGGCCAGGGTCCACTGGAGGGAAGTCGGTCAAAGGCAGAAGGAACTGGGCCAGGAGCAAAGCAGGACACATCTTCGGACAAACTCAAAAGGGACGGGGGTGCTCAGGGGAGAGCCGCCGTCGAAGTAGGGTGCAAGACAAAGCCATAGCGGCAATAATTAACGCCTGAACGGGGCAAGAACTGAAGCTTCTCCCTCGGGCACTTCGTGAAACAACATTGTTTTTGGGTCTTCTCGTTCATAAAGCCAGATCCCATCTGACAGAAAAATACCGGGTATCGATGACACTCTTTCGATATGCGCCTCTTTCCCATCAGCCGAAACGCCTGGAATGTCCGTTTGAGCCCCACAACAACCCGCCTTAACGGCTGCTCTGCTCCGCTCCTTTGATTCCCACGCAGCAATGCACATTGCCTCAAACAGGCAGTACAATCTATGTCGGGGCGCCAGTCTCACTTCCATGATTGTGTCTCCACAAATCTATGCCTTCGTTGTGAAATCAGTCTCCGTCGCCAGAAGTCCGCCCTCAGTAGCCTTGGAGCAATTGCAGCTCGTGGCGCTCCTCTTCCCACACGCGCATGTCGAACCAGAGGGGGCAACATTCTCGGTGGCGGCTCGATCGCATGTACATTGCTGGGCGGGACGGGCGTCTGCCGCAGACGGACTGTTAGCACTTTCACAAAAAGTTGCACAGCGGGTTGGGCATGGAATGAGAGACATACTGCATGAACATCTCGGTCCCTGGATCGTATTCTCCTGTGCCTTCTTCTCGCAGTTGCAATTCAGCGCCGATTGCTGTCCGCATGAACAAGTGGCTTTTTGCGCGCAGAGGCAGGTGTCGTCGCTGCGACCGCAGCAGGTCGATGGCTTGACCATGGTGGTGTGGTGTTGGATGAGGGTGGATGGGAACGGGCTAGAGACTTTCGACAATTGTAAAGTCTGGCCGAGAGGAAAGATCGGTAAACCACAGTCCGTAAGACACGATGTTTCTGGGAGATTGTATGTTGTACCGCAGTCGAATAGTTCATCGGCTGGTTTGGGAGAGAACGGGGCGGGTTTATATCGACGTCACCCAGGCGAAAGCGAACAAATGCGTCTATCGTGATTGGGCACTACTGATCCGCATCTGATAAGATGCAGCCAATCTTCTCCCTTTCATTTCAAAGCGTCAATGTCGCCTCTTGGTGACCATCTCCACTGCATACCTACTGCAGGGTGGCATGATCCCATTACTCGTATCAGGCGACTGCAGGTGGATTAGACTAACGCAGGCACAACCGCTAGGTGGATTCTGTTCAAATTCATCGAAAGGTCAAAGGTCGTCTAATCGTGAGTTCAGAATATGGGGTTAGGACCTCTCTTCTCTCCTTGCAAGCACCCGCCAGTCTAGTAGAAGCCGATAACTCAGGTCTGAAGGCTGCCGCTCGTCTATCATGCCCGCTTTAACCACCCTGCTTCGTCGGAGGCTTCGAAGTGTCCCCTGACAAAGGCTTTCCACACTCCTGGCAGCAGTCCGACACCTTCGGCCGGCCGCTGAGGATGTCGACCGTCTCTTTCATGGACATCCAGAACTCATTCTTGGGCCTTCGGTCTTCCCAGTCGGTACCGGTCGCTTCCAGCCCTGTCTCGCCACCCATGGGCGTGAAGACAACTTCGGAGCCTTGAACGCCAATGACGGCCACCGAGAGCGGATCGGCAGCAATCCATTCCTTGTCCTTGCCGGTAAATCGTTCTTCAATGTGCTGCATACACTTGATTGCCATTCGGAGTGCTCGGATTCGATCCATAGGCGAAGGCTTGCCTCCTTGTTGATAGTGACCAGGGACGGCCGCACGCGACTCGAACCGGCCGCGAGCTTCTTCCCGAATCATGTCTGCAATTACCTGTGTCGTGTATGTCGAGCTGGCTCTCTCATTACGAAGGATAATCTTGCCAGCTCTTGAGGCGCCCTGGTCGTTCTTGAAGTTTTCGCGTAGAAACTCAATGTCTCTGGCGATCATGTGAATGTTGATGCCCTCTTCAGGAATATACACCGCCAGTGCACCGACCGAAAGACCCGCCATCGTAGCGAGGTATCCAGACCGACCGCCCTGCGTTTCAATGACGAAGACTCGTCTTCGCGATGATGAAGCTGACTGTCTGATGGCATCGCAGAACTGGATCAAGGTATTGAGACAGGTATCACTGCCGATGGAGTACTCCGTGCCCGGGACGTTGTTGGAGACGGTGGCCGGTAGGACGATCAACGGAATTTTGAAAGCGTCGTACTGTGGTCGTGCCTTTCTCAGCTCACTCGCTGCGGTAAAGGCTTCGAACCCACCGATCAGGAACAGAGCGTCAAACCTGTACAACTCAAAGCACTCGGCAGTCTTCTTCATGTCCGCACTAGGCAAGCCACGATTTGTTCCAATCTCAGAACCACCCTCATTTACCCATGGATCCACGTCAATCCACTTGCACTCCCGAACAGACCCAAGTGGCTTGTCATCGTGGTGCCGCTGCAGACCTGGGAAACCGTTGTGGATGGCGATCGGAGTATGGCCTCGTGTCAAGCAGTAGGCCACCGCAGCTCGGGTGGCTGGATTCATACCACCCGCAGGAGCCCCGACATGGATGATGGCGATCCGCAACCTTTTTCCTTCCGGAAGTCTCAACGCAGGATGATCGGTTGAGGTGGTGATGACATAGCTGTTGTAGTACTCTTTGAACTCAATATCGCGCAACTGCATTGCCTTGTCAAAGTTCTTCTCTTCAATAGCGGCGCCGACCGACTTGGTCAATGCCACAGTCTCCATCAGATTGGACCGCTCGATCTTGTTTTCTCGAATGGTGATGACAGGACTAGGTGTTTCAGGAGTAGCTTCCAAGACCGCCTTCACAGCTTCCACACCTTGTAATGTAGACAGCCAGCGATCGTAGAAACATGCCTGTCCACCCCTTTGTGTGTGGCCCAATACTGTAACTCGTGTGTCGAGCTTCAGCTTCTTGGTCAGAAGGTCCTTGACGTGGTTCGCCGTGATTTTGTTCAGCTCTCGGTCATGAGCACCCTCGGATATGATAACGATGGACCTCCTCTTGCCTCTCGACCGGTGAGTAGTGATGACATTGCACATCTGGTCTTCCCATCCGACTCGTGGTGGTTTCTCAGGAATGAAGACATAGTCGGCACCGGTGGCTATGGACGCCATCAAAGCCAGCCAACCGCAGTGACGGCCCATAACTTCAACGACGAAGCCTCGTTGATGGGAAGCTGCAGTGTCGAAGACGTCGTCTACAGCACTACAGATTCGTTCGAGGGAGGAATAACAGCCAATTGTGGCGTCGGTGCCAGACATGTCGTTGTCAATTGAGCCGACCAGGCCGACGATATTCAGATGCTTGTAGGGCTCGACCTCTTCTTGTGTCAGCTCTCCCGTGTCGACCAGCTCTTTGATCAAGCTTGGCCACTCTGCTCTGAACTTGTCAGCACCAGTCAAGCTACCATCACCACCACAGATGACCAAGGCGTCGATGCCACGGAGAACCATATTTTTGGCTGCTCTCAGCCTTCCCCACCGCTCCATGAAAGGCATACACCGTGCTGTACCAATCAAGGTACCGCCCCGAGACAGGTAGCCTCTGACGTCTTCCCACTTCATCTCTTTGATCAGCTCACCGCCCTTCACCAACCCGTCGTATCCTTCGTAGATTGCATACGACTCGCAGCCCATGTGAATCGACATGCGCACCACTGCCCGGACAGCTCCATTCATACCAGGTGAGTCACCTCCACTGGTCAAAACACCAATCCTGCGCTTCTTTGCGGGCGCTGGCACCTCGCCGGCGGCCATCTTGTTCCGAGTTCGTGAGGTGGTTTAGCGTAGGACAGTGGGTAGGCGGGGCTCGGGTTCTGGAGGTCAAGAGTCGGTCTCCCCTTGAGGGATTCGGTAAAAGAAGGACAAGGTTATAGTGCTCGGCGGGAAGGAAAGCGAAGGAAAGGAAAAGGAAAACGGCTCGTGGGGGTATAAGAGGTCAGTAATAAAGATGAAGCTCAAAGATAAAGCAGAAATGATAAGTTCGTCGCGCCGAGCAGAACCTGGGGCAGAAGCAGCTCTGAGGGCAAACAACGTCATTCGTCAATTGATAAGTGCACGACGATCCACGCCTGTTGATTGCTTCCAGGCTCGCAGGCAAAAGAAAGATCTACTGTAGCCGATAGGCCTAGAAACGACCACTCCGGTGACCCTAAACTTCACCAACCGTAGCTAAAATTGCCGCCATGTCCGCCCAGCGACCTTGCTGTTGGTACACACGTTCTTCGCTGCCAAACTACCTCGTACTTCACCTCCACGGTACTGTGTAGTAAGCGACCCCTCCGATTTCGCCTTTCGCCAAAGACCTAGTATATGAACATCTCACCAATAAAACTTCTCAATTGATCTAAGCAATTTCTCCTGACCAGGAAAGGTGGTTGATGCACTTGGTCTCGGTGCTTCAGTGACAGAGGACTGCCATGGCTGTCGTTGCTAATTAATCCCCCTTCATCCCCCTTCGACAAAGCGAAAGCTCAACCATCATGGCCGAATCAAACACCATCAGTCTCGTGATTCCCCCCGAGCCGTCTTCAAAGTCGCAAGCTCTGGAGTCACAGATTCAGCAGATTATCGCCCAGAAGGGACATTTTCGCCATGTCACTGAACGCTCACTTCTCGCTGAGATTCATGGCAAAGCTACCGCTCCAGATGTCGCCCAGGAACGCCCAGAGGAGGAACTGGCCGCAGACGATGATGAAACTCCGCAGAAACGTACGGAGCGCCTGTGGGAGCGAAGAAACCAGATGCTTGAGAGACTAGGGTGAGTCCCGTTCTCTCTGCTTTTCCTTGCTGAAGTTGACGAACCTAGGGCTGCACAGAACGACATCCTCTGCGCCCTCGACTTTGTGTCATGGCTGATCTCGCAACAGTCTGTTCCCGCACGGCATTCAATGTCCGCACCACTCAAAGAGGCTGCTCCAGTAGGGTCGCTGGTAGCAAAGGTCCTTGAAGAAAAGCCAATCTCACCACCTGTGAGACGACAATTGGTGTCAGTCTCGCAGGGCTGGAGGTCAGAAGGCTTCCATTTGGCCTCTAATAAGCTCTCCGCCGCCTCTTCTCGACTCGAAGCCGAAGCTGAACACCAGTCACAGTTCTGGAAGCAAGTCGCGGATCTCAGGGCCAAAGGCTGGCCAATATCACGCCTCCCAAGAGATCGCAAAGCCATTGGTGTCCATTTCGGGTTTGCGGAGGCTGCACCGCAGTTCCGCGATCGAGGTTTCGCTCTTCTTCTTCAGGCAGCCGATGGCTCCGTGGGATTGGATGCTCGATCGCTGCCCAAGAAGCGCAGGCGTCTCGCAGTTTACGTTATTCGCAATGCTAACAAGACTGGGGCATTTCACTTTGAGAGCCCCAGAACGAGCGAGACGATGGATATCAGCCAGCAGTTGACAGACCATCGGGATGCGCTATTTGAGGAGGAACTATTTTTCGAGATATGTCGCGAAGCACGGCTTGTCGGCAATCAGGGAATAACTACGCGTGCACGCTCTGTTGGGTTTGACGTGGGTGATTACCGGCTTTTGCTCGTATCCTCTGACGAGCAGGAGGCCGCGTTGAATACCAACAATGAGGACGACTCGATTGCTGAATTTGTGGGAATCTCCCTCCGACTGCTACTGAATGTGGCCCATGAACAAAATCGGAGCAGACGAATGCAGAAGGCTCCTCCCATGGCAATCAAGGCAAGGACAATGCCGGAGTACCCTCTGCTTCGACCTATCCTGACGCATCTAAGACACCGTTCAGAGGCAAGAGCATTCTGGACTAGCATTCAGACCCTGCTGCACGCCTTCGAAACGGCAAGCCTGCCAACAACAATGTCGATGGAGAACTCTAACGATGCTGTGTTCGCGTCGTTGAAGATGGAGTCTCCAAACACACTTCTGTCGGAGCTGATGGTGCCTGCCAAAACATCATTCGCACTCAAATTGACGACTGGCCGAAACTTACAGGTTGGGCTGGCCACCTTTTTGGGACCTCCTCTGTTGGGTTGTCGATACGAGACTTCTCCGATCGACTTCGGTTTCTCGAAGATACCTTCTTGTCGCCACGAAACACGAGACGTAGCTTTGGCGTCTGTTCGACACATGCTGCTGCTGGAATTGGTCGCGCATGCAGAGGCTCTCACGAGGACAGACGCGGCAAATGCTGAGGCGGATAAGAGCAGACACAAAAAGTGGAGTTTATCACAACCACACAGCGGTGAGTTGACGATGTATTTTGCCCAGGAAGCGGTTCGTAGGATGCAGCTCTCCGTACACACGGAATCAATCAGTCTCAAAGGGAGCCCAGTAAAACAGAGACCATCTTCCAGCGGTATTGTATGGTCTTGGACGGCCGCTGGCTGCTTCAAGGCCGAGGGCAATGCCACCACGAAGGAGGAGGGTACGACGTTTGACGCGGCAGTGAGACAGTTACTTGCAACAGATAGCTAGAAGCACTCAAGTTGATGTCGGTTAGAGGGGGAGCCTGCTTCTGGGTGCACAAATCGATATACTACGAGAGGCAAGGACAGGGCAGTCCACTCCTCACGCCCGACATTGTGGTACCAATGACATCTTCTTGCCAGCGGGCGTGGATGAAGCTGACATTGCATGGTTGTCCATCTCCTGCAATCTTTGTAGCTTGGCACCACAATGATGTTCTGTTCTCCGCCTCTGCATCCTCCACTTTGAGCAATCTCAGACAGCCACCAGCTGCATTTCAACTGCTCATTCAAACAATCCGTCAACGTTCCGATAATTCGTTGAGAAGTAGCGAACAAACACCATGAGTACCCGTTATAGAATTGAATGTGGGTCACTATGAATTCCACGTCTCAAGCAACAAATCCAGTGCTAATTGACGGCTAGATGCTTTGAAGGCAGGTCATACTCGCGCTGTGGGAGGGAGAGACCAAGACTGTACTAACTTTCTCCAATCAAGACTCATCGCAGAGATCAACTAGTATGTGTCCGACCCTGCAATATGAACAGAAGCTAATTATGATAGATCGAATGGATCAAGGTAGGTAGTGACAACAAGTCCGCCCGGGCAAAAGGGCTCGGTCAGACATGCATCTGCTCATACCTGCCGTGCCTGCTTACAGGGCCTCCTCACTGTCCCATTTGTCTTGAATTCACAGCCCGCCGTCGAATACGATGGATCGAGTGGCCAGAGTTTGGATGTCATGGCAAGATCAGCACAGCAGCGCTACGCCGAGATCTTCCGCGACGTCGAGGATCTTATACTTGATCACAGTCAGTCCGAACATTGATCGGCGCTCGAAGTACAGAGCTGACGCGGTGCAGTCAACCAGCAAGCTCTGTCGAACCCACGGTCGAAACTCAGCATGCTCGTGCCTACTATCTCAGCCTTCTTTACTCCACTAGCTCTGGAAGACGCGTTCAGGTATCAAGACTCGGTGCGGGCCATTTCGTCACGCCGTTTCGTCGCTCCCTCCTTCAATGATATCCGTCTCATTCTCAACACAGCGCAAATTATGGCAATGGTCCGGCCGAAGCCATACAGGCAGCTTAAATTCAGGCTGGACCCTGGGCTCGAGCTGCTGACGTTTGATGGTGATGTTACACTATATGAGGACGGAGCGTCGCTACACTCGCCTGAAGCCAACCCAGTGATTCTCAGACTTGTTCATTTCCTGGCACACAACGTGAAGATCGGGATTGTGACGGCCGCAGGCTACACTCAGCCGGAGCACTACTTCAATCGGCTTTCTGGTCTTCTTGTGGCCGTGAAAGAGTCCAAGGAGCTCACAGCAGCTCAAAAGTCCAACTTGATCATAATGGGAGGCGAATCCAACTTCCTCCTTGTTTTCGACGAGACGCAAGAACATTGCCTACGCTACATTCACCGACGAGAATGGATTCTCGATGCGATGAAAGACTGGACAGAACCGGCCATCAAAGAGCTCCTCAACGAAGCTCAAGCTGCGTTTGAGTCGTGTATACGTACGCTTCGTCTGCAAGCCAAAGTCCTCCGCAAAGAGCGTGCCGTTGGAATCTATGCTGCTGATCAGTCCAAGAGGCTGACCCGAGAGCAGCTAGAAGAGACAGTCCTGGTGGTGCAACGGGTGATTGAGACATCGATCAATACAGGAAGCTCCGACAAAAAAGCCTCGTACGCTCACATCCCGTTCACAGTATTCAATGGAGGGGCGGATGTTTTCTTGGACATCGGAGACAAGTCATTAGGGGTAAAAGCTTGTCAGAAATGGTTCGGAGGCATTCCACCTTCAAGCACCCTGCATGTGGGTGATCAGTTCCTAAGTGGTGGAGGCAACGACTTCAAGGCACGGAGCGCCTGCTGTTGTGCGTGGATTGCGAGCCCAGCAGAAACTGTGGCCTTGCTGGATGAGGTGGTAACTCTGGCGAAGGGCGAGTCCAAGTGGGCATAATTTGGGGTGCGCAGGGCATAGCCGCCTGATAGAAGGACATGAGTGCGACTAGCATAGCACCGGTCTCGGGTTGCAGCAGAATGTGTGGACTTCTTCAATGCTCCGAGATTGATTGCGACGACGACGTCATGGCTCCTCCATTCGACAAGACTGCAAATCTGTCTGGACCTGCAGATTCAGCTGAAAATGAAGTGAAAGCGAGGTGCCACATCATAATGCTGGTCGGAGGCGGAAAGTGATATGTCCGAACTTCTATTGCGGAGGGAGGCTGTACGGAGTACGGAGTACACATTAAGAGTTATGTCCTCCACGTTGCTGGCGCTAAATTGGAAGCCGCAAGATCGTCACAGGGGTGAGTGAATGCCGCTTAAGGGCAAATGCGGGCGCAGGCGGATTGCCTCGTGAATCAACCTCACATCATCCTTCGAATAATACGAGTCCTTGTTCTTCGCTCAGCAATTCCTTGCTCTGTCGGACCTCACAGTATCATGACAAACCATCCTTCGGTCACACGTGCAGTGTTCGCAGACCATGGGCTGTGATTACCGAGCCATCATCACGTCGTCGTCCCGTTGACGCCCGCTTGCCCTCCCTCGACGCCGCAGCACCCCACCGCAATACCCAGCGCCCGGCGCGCAGTCCTTGTGGGCTGACCAGCTTGTCACGATGTCGTCCATGCGTGGTCTCGTCCAGTTCATCGCTGACCTGCGAAACGCCCGGGCCCGAGAACTAGAAGAGAAGCGGATCAACAAGGAACTGGCCAACATCCGGCAAAAGTTCAAGAGCGAGAAGTTGGACGGCTACCAGAAAAAGAAATACGTCTGCAAGCTGCTCTACATCTACATCCAGGGGTACAACGTCGACTTTGGACACCTGGAAGCCGTCAACCTCATCTCCGCAACCAAATATTCCGAGAAGCAAATTGGATATCTCGCAGTAACCCTTTTCCTGCATGAACAACACGAACTTCTGCCCTTGGTGGTCAACAGCATTCGAAAGGACTTGTTGGATCACAATGAGCTCAACAACTGCCTGGCTCTGCACGCTGTGGCCAATGTCGGCGGTCGCGAGATGGGAGAGGCCTTGAGCGCAGACGTTCATCGACTGCTGATATCTCCTACGTCCAAATCCTTTGTCAAGAAGAAAGCTGCCCTCACACTGCTGCGCCTCTATCGCAAGCACCCAGCCATCATCCAAAGAGAATGGGCCGAACGGATAGTGTCGTTGATGGACGATCCAGACATGGGCGTGGTGTTGTCTGTTACCTCCCTCGTCATGGCCCTTATCCAGGACAACCCCGACGCATTCAAAGGGAGCTACGTAAAGGCTGCACAAAGATTGAGGAGGGTTGTCATAGAAAACGACATCTCACCCGATTACCTCTACTACAAAGTGCCATGCCCGTGGATTCAGGTCAAATTCTTGAAGTTGCTGCAATACTATCCTCCTTCAGGCAAGTTCCAGCGGTCCGTTGCTGAAGTGTACTGACCATTCCATAGAAGATTCACATGTCCGGGATATAATCCGAGAGTCACTCCAAGCCATCATGCAGGCGGCCACAGAAGCACCCAAAAACGTACAACAAAACAATGCCCAAAACGCCGTCCTCTTCGAAGCAATCAACCTTCTCATCCACCTTGATACAGAGCACCAACTCATGATGCAGATATCTTCCAAGCTAGGGAAGTTCATTCAGTCACGAGAAACGAACGTACGATACTTGGGCTTGGATGCAATGACCCATTTCGCGGCGAGATCGGTGACTCTCGACCCCATCAAGCGACATCAGAATATCATCATTGGCTCCCTTCGAGACCGAGATATCAGTGTGCGACGAAAAGGCCTAGATCTTCTTTACAGCATGTGTGACATCACCAATGCACAGCCCATCGTCGGCGAGCTGCTCAAGTATCTACAATCTGCCGACTTCTCCATCCGGGAAGAAATGACCCTCAAGATTGCCATTCTGACCGAGAAATATGCGACCGACGCTCAGTGGTATATCGACATCTCTCTACGACTGCTGGCCATGGCTGGTGATCATGTCAGCGACGAAGTGTGGCAACGGGTAGTCCAGATTGTCACGAACAACGAGGAGCTGCAACCCTACGCAGCGCAACATATCTTCGACTACCTAAAAGCCGAAACTTGCCATGATACTCTCGTCAGAATTGGCGGATATGTTCTTGGAGAGTTTGGACATTTGATCGCCGACAACAAAGGCTGCAGCCCAATCGAACAGTTGATGGTGCTACAGACCAAAATGATATCCGCTCCAGATCCGACGCGGGCATTGCTGTTGTCAACGTTTGTCAAGTTCGTCAACTTGTTCCCAGAGATCAAGCCTCAGTTGCTGCAGATGTTCCAGTTCTATAGCCATTCACCTGACTCGGAGCTCCAGCAACGGGCTTGTGAGTATCTCACAATTGCAACGCTACCTACGGATGACCTTCTTCGCACAGTCTGCGATGAAATGCCCCCATTCTCAGAACGAACCTCGATCCTTCTGCAAAGGTTACACAAGAAGAGTGCGGGCACTAGCGAGAGAAGGACTTGGGTTGTTGGTGGCAAAGATGCTAACGCGGACGAAAAAGAAGTCCTTCTGGCCCAGCAGACGGGCCTGAAACGGAGCTTCACCACCATTGTCAACGGAACGAGTGTGACCACAAATGGCACAAGTGGCACGAACGGTGCTACAGCAACCCTTGCGCAGAATGGACAAAATGGAACCACGAGCGCTGCAAAGGATCTTGAAGGGTTGGATATGAACGGCCATAGCAATGATGCGGCCATGCCCAACCTCGCCAGCACCGCTCATCTCTCTCCGGACTGGGAAATGGGATACGAGCAAATGTTTTTTGCCAACGAAGGCGTTTTATATGAGGATCCGCAGATTCAGGTTGGTATTCGGGCAGAGTACCGCGGCCATCTAGGCGTGATCAAACTCTACTTCACCAACAAGGCATCGTTCTCGATTGGCTCGTTTACGACAACCCTCGACAACAAATCGGCACCCAAACTCAAGATCGATACGAAGAGCCTGCCCGAGCCTAGTATCGATGCCGGTTCGCAGGCCCAGCAGACTGTGGTCTGCACCTCCGTCGCGCCATTCTCTGAGCCACCCACGATCCGCATCTCCTATCTCGCCGGTGCACTTCAGGGGTATACGCTGAAACTTCCTATCCTTGCTCACAGGTTTATGGATCCGTCGGAGCTTTCAGCAGAGGATTTCTTCAAACGATGGAAGCAGATCGGTGCTGGGCCGCTCGAGGCGCAGAGCACGTTTGGCCTGCGCAGCCCATCTGCCGGCATGGATGAAAAGTTCGTCCGCGACACTGTTGCAGGGTTCAGGTGGCGGATTCTGGACAACGTCGATCCCAACCCAAAGAACATTGTGGGATGTGCGGTTCTGCAGCTGGAGAAGGGCAAGACGGGCTGCTTGTTGAGATTGGAGCCAAACCATCAGCAGAAGGTGTGTGCTAACCTTCTTCAGAACCATCATTTGGTGGGTTGTGACTGACTTGCTCGCAGATGTTCCGCTTGACAATCCGCGCAACACAGGAGAACATTCCCAAAATCCTGCTCGATCAAATGCAAGAGCGGCTCGCAAAAGGATCTCTAGTGTAGCTTTGGTAGCGCAGGTTGAGGGGATTTGAGGTCCTTGCTTTTCATCATGTTTCCAGCATTGTGCACCGCGGTGTTAGCGTGTCACTCCTGCGAGCAGCATCATCTGTGCATCGAAGCATATACTTGGCATCGAGATCCTTGAGCACTAATACAAACGTGCCTTTTTACCCACCGGGAATGGTTGGAATGCATCTCATGACTTGGCCTGGACTTAGCTCATTTCTTTTCCGTCTCGGTGTCGTCAACGACCTTTGCATCCTTCTTAGCTGGCCTCTCTCCGAAAATCGTACTTCCGACCCTCACTTCATCACTACCCAGCCGCACTGCCGACTCGAAATCTTCCGACATTCCCATACTCAGCTCGAGCTCTTCCTTGTCGGTGAGGCCAATCTCTTCCGCGATCTTGTCCCTCGTGGCGCGGAGCGTAATAAAATCCTCGTTCTCCGTCTCTTTCGTCGTGGCCCTGGATCGAGCAATTGCCCCAATCGTCATCAACCCCTGCAGGTGCAGATTCGGACACGACGCTTCACTCCTGATCAACTTGGCCAGGGAGACCAACTCGGCCGACCCGGGCTCCAGACCGGATTTGCTGTCCTCGCCACTCGTGTTCACCTGGATAAACACCCGGAGTTTGTCTTCCCATCCGTTCCGCTCGAACTCGGCCTTCGACCGGTCGCCAAACTCCTTGTGTAGCCTTTGATTTCGCTCTGCCCGGCCCTTGTCGAGTAAGCTGGCCTTTTTCTCGCTGTCGACGCTCTCCACCGCCCACAGCCCTTCCACCTCCCTCGCCAGCTGGACACATTTGTTCGACTGCAGTCCCCCAATGAAGTGCCACTTTATCGTGCGCGGCAGGAGTCGCGATTTCTCGAGTAGTTCCTGCACGTAGTTCTCGCCAAAGTGCTGATGGCCCGCACCGATGGCGGCGGCCGAGGGGTCTGAGGCTGAGGCTGAGGCTGAGGGCGAGGGTGGTTTCTCGGGACTGGGCAGCGGCGGAGGGCTGTGCAGCGAGAGGATATCCGAGGCCGGTTTTAATTTGGAGACTGCGACGAGGCGGACCTGGCGGCCGGACTGGGGCGACGGGAGGGAGGACAGTGTGCTGGCTATGCGGGACTGGATAGAGGAGAGGTTCTGGACGAGGAATGCGGCGCGCTGGGGGTTCACTTGGATCGGGGACGGTGCTTTCATCGCCGCTGTGGAGGAGCTTGTGATTGATGTGCTTGATTGTGGTTCTGTCGGAGCGGTCATTGTGGACTCTCTGTATGCAGCTGGGAGATGGGCGTCAGGAGGAGAAGAGAACCAGGATTCCTTATTTCCTTGTACTATCGTGGTCGTCTCTGTTTCAATGTCGGCTGATTTTCACAGAAATAGTTTCTCCAAACTTTCTCGAATCTCGAATCATGACGGTCAGAAAACCGTAACCGGTATCTACGTTATACTCAATGTGCGAAATGCCGATAATAACCGGCCGTGATTGGCATCAAAAGCCTGTTCGGCCATTTCAAGACGTCCATTGTTCGTCGAAGGCTGTCAGCATCCTCCAGGTGAACCTTGACCAAACCGTAAAGGAAAACTGCATTCAACCCGTAAAGCCAGAGTTCCACTGGCTGAGACATAATAAGACGATGAAGCGAGACTCTTGAAAACCACAAGGACTCACAAATCTTTTGGATACCATTCCGGCTACGAGAGTGATGAACGTGTATATACCGAACTGTGTCGTTCTTGGTCATGCGCTACCCAAGCTATGTCGAAACCCACAAGAACAAAATCATTCCTCTAGTCTATCATGCGTATCTTCATGCCGACAACATTCCATATCCGTCTATCGATGTTAACGCCAACGCTATGATCTCCAGCATCTCAAATCAGGTGTTCGGACAGTCCACGCCTACGCCTCATCATCCGTGTCTGGTGGATGAGGAGTGCCTTTGGGGCTGTTCAACCACTCGATGTGCCTCAACCTCCTCCGCACTTCTCGGTCCTTCATTTGAGCTCGCGTGAGCTTCTTCTTCTTCTTGGCCTTGAATTTCATCTCGCTGTTATCTTCCGCTCCAGAGTTGACCGCGGACGCTGTAGCACTCGAAACGGCCGACGAGACGTTGCTCGAGCCTGGGCGTGAGTCTTCAAACCGATTGAGGTCGATGGCAAGGTGGCCCTTGTGCGTTACCCGTCCATCGGCGACGTGCCACTGCTCCGGACAGAGAGCCCCAACAAACTCTTCGTTGTGACTGATCATGACAACACCACCTTTGTAGTCGCGGATGGCAACGGCAAGACCGCCCAAGGAGTCGCGATCCAAGAAGTTGGTGGGCTCGTCCAGCACGAGCAGGTGGGGATTGTTCCACATAGCACCCGCCAGCACGACTTTGACTTTTTGGCCACCACTCAAGCCGGAGATCTCGTTGTGGTTAGCAATCTCCGGGTCCAGGCCAACATCCTCAAAGTGTTTTGCAATAACCTTGGGCTCCAGGATGCGGTATCCGAGACCTTCCCGGGACGCCTCGTGGTCGTCAAACTCCTGAACCAGCTTCTGAAACCCCCATTCCAGCAACGTCTCTCTAGACACCATGCTGTTGAATTTGGGAAGCATTCCTCTCCACTTCACCTCATACTGGAATGTCTTCTTATATTTTTGTCGCCCAATCAAGTTTTCGAGTTGCCTTCCACCTTTGCCGTCTCCGAGGTCAATCCACTTGTCCAATTGGGCCCGGTCCTCGTCGGTCAGTTGCCGAGTGGCTTTCATGAGCACTTCTCGATCGTCGCCATTGGCATATCTCCATTGCAAGTACTGGTTTGGGGTCTTCTCCATATGCATCTCCACGTGCTCAAGTGCATGCTGCTTGATGTATCCAATACGAAGGTTGGGGTGCTTCTCGACTTTGCCAGTCTGAGGGATGGTCTCACCGGTCAGCAACTTGATCAAGGTAGATTTGCCGGCGCCGTTGGCGCCGATGATTGCCACTCGGGACGACAAGCTCAGTTGACACGATACGTCCGTCAAACTAGGCTTTGACGCGCCAGGATATGTGTAGCTGACATTTGTCATCCGGATGATCGAGCGGGTGTTGGATTTGACACCGCTCAGAATACCAGGGGGAGGGAACTTGAACTGGACCTGAGACGCAGATAGCGTGTAGTAGCTCTTGCCTTCCGGCTTGACTTTGACAAATGCGGCAAGATTGCCAGGATAGTGAACCAGTTTCTTGTTCTCGTAGTGGTAGATGTCGGTGCAGACCGCGTCGAGGAAGCCGGAGTCGTGAGATACGATAAGCGAGGTGATCTCGGTGTGTTTCTGGAGATACTCCTCGAGCCACTTGACATTAGCAACATCCAAGTGATTTGTCGGTTCATCAAGCAAGAATACGTCGGCACGCATGAGCATCGCTCGTGCCAATGCCAACTTCATCTTCCAACCTCCAGACAACGAGCCGACCTTATGAGATTGTCTCCCTTCCGGACCAGCAGTGAAACCGACCTCGCTCAACACCTCTGAGATGCGTTCGCGTCCTTCTTTGGCGATCTCGGGATCCTTGGCCACATACTCAAGGATGGTGATATCCGCGTCTTCGCCCTGATTATGCTCGACAAAGCATGACTTTAAGACATCTTTAGGCGGGAAGCCTTCCAACTTCCCCTCGGCAATGCTCCGCATCAGAGTAGACTTGCCAGCACCATTGCGGCCACAGAGACCGTAGCGGTGGCCCTTCAGGAGGCGTAGGTTGGTGTGAGACAACAGCAGCATGCCACCATAAGCCAGGGAGAACTCCGCATTCACGATCTCCACCTCATTTGGATCCTCGACAATGGGAGCGCCGAACCTCTTGTGGTCCTCCTCGAGGAAATGCTTCCGGACGCCCTCAGCAACTGCTGTACAGAGCTGCTCGGGCATCATGTATTTGAGGTAGGGACCGACTCGGGCTGGGATGCGAGAAAATACACGAGCATTGACGTCTTCTCTGACCATTTCTGAGACATACTTCTGGCCTTGTTTCCAGACGACCATATCCTCCTTTTGCAGACCTCCCTGGGCTCGGACCTGGCTGTCAAGAACTTTGAGGACGTCGTCGGTACTAGTTCTTGCGATTTGACTGTTCGTGACTCCATCTTGATCGTCGCCCATGGCCTTTTTCATAACGTTCACAGCTCTTGTAGCCAACTCGCGGACTTCGGGCAAGGAGGCGTTGTCTTTGACTCTCTGCACGCCGGGTTGCAATTTAGGCAGGAAGGTTCTGGCTTCAATCGGATCATGAACCAGCTTGGTCAAGTTTTCGACGACCACCACAGTTTGTCGAAGAACTTCTTGCGTCGTAGTAGGAGTATTCAGGGATCGTTCGAGCAATGGCGTGAGGAGGGCGAGGACCGGTGAGGTCACAATGGCGACGAAGGTGGTTTGGGAAAGCGCATGAATGGCTTTTTGGAGCGTCTGCGCCGAGGGGTTTTTCATAGTTTCGATGAGCAGGGGTATCCGAGGAGTGACATCGTCGTTCTGGAGGAGCGTGGTAAGGGAGGTCATGGTTTTCGTAGCAGCTTTGGCGACCTCGGGCTTCAGGTCGTGCATTCCGCCCTCTACAATGGGAATGAGATCCTTCAGCGTCTTGCCCATCGACTCTCTCAGCACATCCTTGGCTAGTTCCTCCTCTTTCGGGGCGGTGCCGATTAGAGCTTTGTCCGCCATTTTTCCTAATAGTTGATATGCGCCAACGGTTCCTTGCCATTTTCCGGTGGGCTTGGACAGGTACTGTTGCAGGGCCGGAAGAAGGCCAACGACCATGGCTTCGGGCGAAAGATTCTTGAAGAGTTCGTCAACAGCATATTGCGCCGACTCGCGAACCGAAGAGCCTTTGTCCGCTAACCCGTCGAGGACGAGATTGAACAGGCCACCGTCTTGAACAAGGAAAACAACCTCACTGAGGGGCTGCTCGCTGGGGAATCGCTCAAACATGGCGCCCAGAATAAACATGGCACTTTCTCGTTTTGAGCCATTCTTCTTGTCGGCCGCCGCCTTCTTAATCTCCGGTATCAGGTTGTAGGAAAGGAGGCCACGAATGCCGATTGACTGGATCAGGAGATTTGTGAGCGCATACGCGGCGTCGAGGGATGTCTGAGCTGAATCGGTGTCAACGATCGTCCTCAGGATGCTGTTCACTTCATCTGACGTCGTAGCGACTCCTGAGAACTCGGACTTGGAAGGAACGACAGGCTCAGCCATGGCGGAAGGCGAGGGAGGACTCTCAAGATGTGGCATGCCAAAGATGTCGCGCAGTGTGGCCGCGGCTCGGAGTCTGAGGGTTGAAAACTGAAGGAAGAAGGGCGAGGATTCTGCGCCGGCACTCTACGATGAGTACTGGTGCCCACAGTGCCGCGGCAGCACAAAAATGAGGGAGTCAATGGCCAAAGCACAATGTCCCGTACAAAACTTTCTCGAAAGAAATCTTTCCGAGAAGGGGGCATTCGAGAGGATCTCGCCTGCAGCCTATGAGACAAAATCTGAATCAGCCCGCGCCTCCAACCACTGCGTCACAGTTTTTCTTCAGCCTTACAGAAAATTTAATCGATAAGCATTGGCGTCTGTAACAGTCCCACCAGCGCCACACAGCGCCTAACCAGTGTCTTCGTGGGAACTGACTAAGCGGCAATACTCGTAGGTAGTGGATGCATGCTATGTAGTACAACGCTCATGAATGTCCTCGGGACCTCACTTAGCATCTGCATGGTCTCGATAAATTTTGGCGATTCTATATACAGTCTCTGATCGATCGGGTCACGGCAGCCGAAACATACCCCGTTCACCTCCAAATCGACCGAGCCGAGTCTCAACCGTATAGATACATTTGTTTGGCAGCTTTCAAAAACCAGACTCGGTGTTTCCTTCGCCCATACTCTTACTGGAACTGCTGCCGCTCTGGATAGCCCCGATGATGCCATCAATGTACGGAGCACCACTCCATTTTTGGTGAGTCAGGACATCCACGCCAAGTTCTTTCTCCCGGCTCTGTATCAGCTTGACGTAGGCCAGCATTCCATCCTCCTTAAACCCCTTCGAGAGCTCATGAGTGATAGTGGCCGTGGAATGAAGTCCGGCAAGAGAGATAAGCTGAAGTACAAACCCTTCCTTAGCCAAATCCCAGACAAAAGATTTCAGTGATGCATCGTCAAAGCCTTGGCCCATCCAGTTGAATGATGGGCTGAGATTGTAGACCATCTGCTTGCCTGGATGTTTCTCGCGGATCTCTCTGGCAAATCCG